GTTTTCTATGGTAACTCCTTAATTTGCCTGTTGGTTCAGTACGCAAAATGGCCAAATGGCTGTCTCAGCGCCCAGCAGAACAGAACCATTGAAGCAATCCATAGAAGTACTCCTCCCTTGGGAATTACATCAGGGCAGATAAAGTGCTTCTCAGATAAGGTCAAGTTATAGGAGCTCATCATCACCAAGCCCTTATTATATGGAATGTTAAAGGGATTTATCTAAGAAAAGGAATGTAAAATATATGAACAATAAAATGACAGCAAACTCACAATCACTAACAACCACACCTAAAACAAAAACAAAAGCAAACAAAGCAAACAACTAGAACAGAACCACAGAAATAGAGATCACCTAGAGGATTATCAACAGGGGAATGGGAGGAGGAGAGAGGGGGGAAAGGAACAGAGAATAAGTAGCATAGATGGTAGGTAGAAAATAGAAAGGGGGAGTGTAAGAATAGTATAGGAAATGTAGAAGCCAAAGAAGTTACACATATGACTGTTGGACATGAACTAAAGGTGGGGAATGTGAGTGGGAGGGAGTGTTCAGGGCAGAGGGGAGTGAAGGGGAAGAAATGGGACAATTGTAATAGCATAATCAATAAAATATATTCTAAAAAAAGAAAAATACTCCAATAGAATTTTTTGTTTATTTTTTAATATACTTATTGGGGTGACATTGGTTAATAAGATTGTATGGGTTTCAAGTGTACAGTTCTATAATACAGCATCTGTATATTGCATTGTGTGCTCACCACCCAAAGTCAAATCTTTCATCATTGAATAAAGGTGATGTGGGACATACATACGATGGACTACTACTCAGAAGAAGATGAAATAATTGCCATTTTCAACAACAAGGATGGACCTTGAGAATATCAGGCTAAGCAAAATAAGTCAGAAATAGTTAAGAACCATATGATTTCACTCATATGTGGGATATAAAACTACAAGTAACAAATGAACAAGACAGACAAACTCACAGACACAGACGATGGTATGCTGGTTACCAGAGGGAAGGGGGGAGAGTAGTAAAGGGTGAAGGGGTCAAATATATGGTGTCCAAGTGGATTTTTTCCTTTATATGTATTTTTTTAATTTTCTATTTTTAACTTTATTTTCATTGCTGACATTATTACAGATGTCCCCATTCCCCCCTGCCCTTTGCCCACCTCCACCCAGGCCCCATCCCCCCTTCCTCTGGCCGTCACCACACTGTTGTCTCTGTCTATGAATTATGCACATATGTTCTTCAGCTGATCCCTTCACCTTCTTTCATCCAGTTCCCCCTCCTCTCTGACAGCTGTCAGTCTGTTCCATGTATTCATGCCTCTGTTTGTACATTTGATTTTATAGTAAAAATAGTATTTCGAATCAATATGAAAATGATATGCTATTCAAGAGATGGTATTGAAATAATTAGCCACCTATTTGAGAAATAAAAATAACGTTAAACCTCAGTGTCTTGCAATCTACATAAAGGTAACTTCTAAACGGATCAAAAAGAAAAAAATATAAAATAGAATTACAAAAGGATACAAAAAATACTTAAAAACCTTAGCATACATGTTGTCCAGTCCCTTCCCCTTCTTCGCACCATTATTCCCCTCCTGACTCCCCTCTGGTCACTGGCAGTCTGTTCCATGTTTCCATGCTTGTGGTTCTATTTTGTTTGTTAGTTTATTTTGTTCATTAGATTCCTCTTAGAGGTGAGATCATATGGTATTTGTCTTTCACTGACTGGCTTACTACAGACATGGGCATCAATAAAGTTGACTGCAGGAGCTGACTGTGGGAGCAGGGGATGGGATGGACAGAGGAGGACAAAGAGCAAAAAATTGAGACAACTAATAGAATAACAATAAAAAACTAGTTTAAGAAACTTTTCAAAAAGTTTTAAAAATGAAAATCCTAGAGGAGAATATTGGCAGGAAAATCTCAGATATTTCATGCAGCTACATTTTTACTGATATATCTATCCCCTAGAGCAAGGGACATAAAGGAAAGAATAAACAAATGGGATCTCATCAAAATTAAAAGCTTCTGCATGGCTAAAGAAAACAGTATTAAGATAAAAAGAGAACCAACTGTATGGAAAAACATATTTGCCAATGATACCTCAGACAAAGGTTTAATCTCCAAAATATACAAAGAACTTACACGACTCCACTCTAAGAAGACATCTAACCCAATTAAAAAATGGGCAAAGGACTTGAACAGACATCTCTCCAAGGAGGACATACAGAAGATCCAGGGACACATGAAAAGATGCTCAGTATCGCTATCAAAGAGATGCAAACTAAAACCACAATGAAATACCACTTTACACACCAGTCAGAATGGCCATCATAAACAAAGCAACAAACAACAAATGTTGGAGAGGTTGTGGGGAAAAGGGGACCCCAGTTCACTGTTGATGGGATTGCAGACTGGTACAACCATTATGGAAAACAGTATGGAATTTTCTCAGAAAAATAAAAATGGACCCACCTTTTGACCCAGCAATTCCACTGCTAGGATTATATCCTAAGAACCCTGAAACACCAATCCATAAGAACCTATGCACCCCAATGTTCACAGCAGCACAATTTACAATAGCCAAGAGTTGGAAGCAACCTAGATGCCTATCAGTAAATGAATGGATCCAAAAACTATGGTACATTTGCACAATGAACTTCTATGCAGCAGAAAGAAAGGAGCTCCTGCCCTTTGCAACAGCCTGGATGGAACTGGAAAGCATTATGCTGAGTGAAATAAGCCAGGGGTTGAAAGACAAATACCATACGATCTCACCTTTAACAGAAAGTTAAACAACAAAACAAACAAGCAAGCAAAATACAACCAAAGACACTGAAATAGAGAACAGGCGGAAAGTGACCACAGTGGAGAGGGGAGGGAATTTCAGGGGAAAAGGGGAAGGATTCACAGGAACAAGTATAAAGGACACAGGGACAACAACTAAGGGGGGTGGAAATGGGAGGGAGGTGGGGAGCACGGGAGGGGCGTGGGCTGGGATGGGAGTAAAAGACAGAAAACTGTACTTGAATAATAACTAAATTAAAAAATTAATTTAAAAACAGACAAAAATTTTTTAAAAACAGCATAAAATTAAATTCTATGTTTGTTTTTTTCCAAATGCTTCCCAGTGGTTCCAGTACCACTTAGTGCATAGCTTCTCTTCCCCACTAATTTCAGATGTTACCTTTATCACTAAGTTCTCTATATACTCGAGTCTATTTTTCTACTTTAAATTGTTCTATTAGCCTGCCTATTCATTAACCAGTACCATACTGTGTGAATAAAGGTGCTTTAAAAAAACATGCTGGTTTTATAAAGTGTCTGCCATTTCTTTGGCACCCTTTTCTTCAGATGATAGAGGCAAATTCCCCTCTTCCTATATATGGGCCATACATAATGATTCACTGTAGTACAATGATGTGACTTCCAAGGCTAGGTCACAAAATGGACAGCTTCCACCTGGATACCTCAGTATTAGATTTCTCACTCCAGAAAGCCAGCTACCATGTCATGAGGACACTCAGGCAGCCCTTTGTAAAGGCCCACCTTGTAAGAAACAGGCTGCCTCTCAACAGAAAGCACCCATTTGGCAGTCATTTGCATGAACCACCTTGAAGTGTGTCCCCAGCCAAGTTACTCCTGAAATCCTGGCCCACTCGACAGTGTGAGAGATAATAAATGCTAATTGTTTTAAGCCACTAATTTGGGGTTGAGGGGTAATTGGCTATGCAGAAATAGATAATGTATTAAAAGTTTTATAATATATAATAGCTTTATTATATATGATATATAAAAACATAATATATAGTTTCATAATGTTCTATTATATATTATAAAATATTTATAATATATAAAGATTTTGTGATCTATTGTTCTTTTTTTTAGTTTTCTTGACGATTCTTTTTTTTTTTTTTAGGATTTTATTTATTTGTCTTGAGAGGGGAAGGGAAGGAGAGAGGGAGAGAAATACCAATGTATGGTTGCATCTCATGCGCCCCCTGCTGGGAACTGGCCCGCAACCTAGGCATGTGCCCTGACTGGGAAGACAATTCTCATTTTTTTTACATAACCTTTAGTATCAGTTTGGTGGTGTGTGTGCAATTATACACAGAAAGGAAAATTACGTGCTACAAATTAGAGAAAAATCAACATCTTTATCTTCCTATCCAAGAAAATGATTTGTCCAAGTCTTCTTTTCCACATTTCATTAGTATTTTATGGTTTTATTCACATTTTCTCTATTTATCATTTAGCCTTGATTACTACTGAAATTTTTTTTTAAATGGTATCTTTATCCATTTTACATTCTAATGGTTGTGGGTCATTTCAATACCATCTACTAATGATTTCTGCATATTAAGTTTTCCATTCTAGTGTCTTACTAAATTATCTCATTTTTGCAGTAATTTCTCAGTTAATTTTCTTAGGTTTTCCATGTATACAATTACATCATTTGCCAATAGCAATAATCCTTATACCTCAAATGTTTCTTTTATCTAATGTCTCTCTGGACCCTAGAATATAAATTCCATAAGTTCAGAGATTTTCGTACTTTGTTAAGTGCTTTGCCTCCAGCACCTGAAACAATATTTGGCAGAGTATATGCTCACTAAATATTTGAAGTAATTAAATGAACTGCATAGACTAGCAGCTTCAGGACAGTGCTTAGTAAGAGTACTAACTAGTAGGCACCTTGTCTTCTTGTTCCTGACTTTAGCAGAAATGTCTCTATACTTCCCTATTAAGCTTGATGTTGGCCTTTGGGCTGACTCAAATGTATTATTGTCTCATGTTAAATAAGGGCCTATTTCCATTACATTGAGCATTTTTATTTGAAATGGTTGAATTTTAGCAAATGTACCATTTTTATACAGACGGTAAAATTACTTTTCAAAAATTCTTTACACACTGAAAATAATTTAAATATTTTAATTCAACAACTGAAATACAGAAAAGCAAAAGCTACAAAACCATGGAGATAGTAATTTAAACAATAACAGAAAGAGTGCTTTAAGTTATAGTGTTTAAACTTATCACTATTTACATTTCATTCATTATATTGGTATAATACTTCATCTCAGTATCTACAATTTTGACAAATGCTTGGAAAGTTTTTTGTTCAGAAACAGATGCTGGTCTAACAGAAACACATTTAAAAATATTCTTGTTCTGGTCATAGTTTCCAACACACCTATAAACTCGGCCTCTAATCAGTCTTGGAAGTTCACGATCCTGTTTAAAAAAAATCAATAAAACCATTCATTACTTCATCTAAATTCCAATGTTATGAAGCTAATTATATGATCAACTAAATATGAATCACTCCAAAATACTGTAACTCCCTTACCTGATACAGGGCCCCACTGCTGACCAGACCATGACAGCCAGGCAAATATGGGTGCCCTGTCACACAGGAAAGACCTTCACTTGGGAAGGGCTTCTTATAGGCTAGCAAGCTGCTGCTCCTTAAAAGGTTGACTACTTGTGTAATGGCACCTCTGTAACTGCCCGAGTTCTACTTTCAGCAGATGGCAGAAAAGTATTTCATACCAAATCTCCAAGAAAGAACAACTGGAATAGCTGGATGAAATACCTAAAATCTCCTCATAGATTTCAGAGACACCAAGGCAGTGAGGAATTACAGACACCCCATCTGAGAAAGAGTAGGAGTCCAGAATGGGGCCTGATATTTGGGGGTGCTTCCCCCTGAGGTATCTGTCAATAATAGTCAAAGTAGTTGAGAGTCTAAAGAAAATGAGCAGAGCTTTTGACAGGCTCAGAGAGTTGGGAGGGGAAAAATAGAATCAGAGGCCCCTAAGAAAAAGATTCTGGTAACCACCCCCACCACCACCCCAGCCTCAGGGTTGGGACCCAAAAGGGCTATGCCCTAATGGGACTAGTAAACCAGAAAAAGATCAGGCAGTATCAAATGCTCTCAATCATGAGCAAATTTAAATTATTCTGGGATTGCTTTCACTAAAGGGTCACAAAAAGCATTAACTATAAGGGAAAATATTGACTATTGCTAAAAGTACTATATTAAAGTGAAGAATTTCTGTTCCTTAAGAGCCACCATTAAAACTCAAAAAATAACTCACAAAGTATGAGCAAATATTTGCAATATATATAATGTACAAAGAACTTGTACCTACAATAGTTTTTTTAAAACCTCCTATGAATCAACAACAAAAAAACCCCAAATAATTCAATAATAGAAAAAATAACATGAGGCCTGAACAGACTTTACAATACAAGTTATCTAAATGGCCAGTGTGCATATAAGGTACTCAATCTCATTAGTCACCAGGGAACTGTAGAGAAATGAGATAGCACTGAACACCCACTGGAAGAGCTAAAATAAAAACACTGACAGTACTGAGTGTTGATAAAAACACAAAGAAAAACACTCACCTATACTAACTGTGTGTGTGTGAACTGGTATAACTCTTTGGAACATTCTTTAGCAATAACTACTGTATTAGAACATATGTATGCACCATAATGGAACAATTTTACTTCTAGGTATATACCCAATAGAATTGCATGCATATGCATGAGAAATATGTAAAAATATTCATAGACCATTATTTATAACAGCAAAATACCTAGAAACAACCCAGATGCCCACCAACAGCAGGATAGAAAACTAAACTATAGTGCAATATATTCAGACAACAGAAAATTGTATATAGAAATATAAATAAATACTACAGCTACATGCAACATAGATGAATTTTACATTGTGTTGAATGAATCAGACCTAAAAGAAATACACCATATAATAACATTTATATAAAGTTTTAAAAGGGGCAGAATTAATTTATGATATTAAAAGTCAGAATAGTGGTTACTTTTAGGTAGAAAAAAGGAGGTAGTGAATGGGAGGAGGCACAAGAATGTACAAGGTAATAGCAGTGTTCTATTTCTTAACCTTGATAATGTTCACTGTGTGATACTGCACAGAATTGTACAATCAATTATGAGTTATGCACTTTGCTGCATAAAGTGTTTTATTTTAAAGTCTTAAGACTAGAGAAAATAAGCAATTAAGATATTTTAGAAATTAGTAACTTGACAATTACTATTTCTTGATCATCTACTATGTGTCAGACACTGTACATTCATGTTTTATTATCTAATCTACAAACAACCTTTCAAAGTAAGAGTCTCCCCATTTTACAGAAAAAAAACCCTGAACCTCAGAAAGTTTAAACAGCTAACTCAAGGTCATAAAGGTATTAAACAGTGGAATAAAAACTAGAATCCATGTCTGATTTCAGAATGATGGCCAATTTCAGAATTAATCCCAAATTCTTTTACAAAGTATGTAAATCTTGTAAGGTCTCCACACTCCCTTGGGACATCCAGCCTCCTGTATCACCCCCAACCTTCTTTATCACCAAACCTCTTCCTTATATCACAGCCCATCTCCATTTATGCCTTCCCCCAACTTCAGTGCCACTATCCTTACCCCCATCACTTACTAATTCTATACTCTGGTAATTATAAACTACCTGCATTTTCCTACACAATCCAGGCTCTCGCTTAGCTTCATGTCTTTAAATATGCTGCTCTCTCAATTTAGTGTGAATTCCTCCTTACCCCTTCCCATCCCTCCCACACAAATTGGTTTATTAATCCTTAAATATCTAAAACAGGATAGGTAACTAGAACTCTTCAGATCTTTCCCTGACCTTCCTACCTACCTCTCTAGTACCCTGTACATACCTCTACCGTACAATTTATCATATGACAAAGTAACATTTATATACCTCTCTTTCTCCCTGAGATGATAAACTCTTTGAGAGCCATGTTTATATTCCAATTTGTATCTATCTGTTGCATCTAGCATAGCACCAGGCACAGAGTAGGCTCTCCATGTTAGTTGAACAGATAACTTTAATATTAAACTAAAAGCAAACAAAATGTTCAAAGTACTCCCAAAGTGTTAAACAGAATTTCTACTACCGTGAAATTACAGTCTGCATTTGCGTTTTGCTGGCATAGGCTTTACAAAGAATACTTAGACAAATACTTACTATTTCATAAAATATACAAGGCAGAGTATTTTTCCCATCTCTCATAAGAAAAGTCTTAGAATAATATGGCCCAGGTGTCACAGCTGAATCGAGAACAGCTAAGCAACATCAAAATAGAAGGAAAAATCATTGCTGGTAAAATGCAAATAAAATGTAACAAACAGAAGCTGATATTTAAACAACTATCCCCACACAAATTTCTCTGATAGTTTTATTTACACATTAATAAAAAAGACATCTAAACAGGGAAAGAGCCCTGGCCAGTATGACTCAGCTGGTTGGGCATCATCCTGCAAACCAGAAGGCCACAGGTTCAATTCCTGGTCAGGGAATATACCTAGGTTGTGGTTCAGTCCCCAGTCAGAACATGTGCAAAAGGCAACCGATAGATGTTTCTCACATTGATGTTTCTCTCCCTCTCTCTAAAATCAATAAGCATGTCCTCAGGTCAGGATTGTTTTTTAATTAATAAATAATTAATTAAATAAAATAAAGAGGAAAAGATACTTCTGAAACTGTTTTATATTGAGGGACAAAATTTCTGGCCCTTTCCAACTTAGGAACAAGTTATATGCCCAAGTTCGTACACCAGACAATAGTTGCCCATTGAACCTTTTTTTTAGAATTTATTCTATAGAATGGTTAAATCTCCGACCCCTGGGGATTTATTATTATTTTATAATAATAAAATAAACACATATAACTAATAACTAGTAAGCATCATGGTTTAATGAAAAAAATAAATATTGAATTATGCATTTGAGCCCTAGTTCAACTTACTAAACTGAGCAAATTGTTTCTCTTTCAAATCTGTCTCATCTATAAAATGCAAATAATAATTCATGTTTTTTTCTAGAAATTACTATCAAATGAGAGCATTATTTATTTCTTCAAATACCATCTACTGAGTACTGATAGTGAGCATTTGTTATTTTTTGAGGTCAGCCTCCATTTCCCCTAATAATACCCACATTTTCCTTTAGAAAACCTCTCCTATGTCATTCTTAGCCATAAGATTTAAATGGAATTTGTATCTCCCACCTCCCAGGTGCAGGAGTGTCCTGAAATTGGCTTAAACCAGTTAGTGTATCCCATTCCCCAGTTACAGCATGCAGGTAGGCTTTGGGTGGTGGACTTACTACCCAATCAGAAATGATATGCAAGGGGTCCTTTGCTAGCCTCTGGAAAAAAGCAATCAAAAGAAACCATCAAAGAATGTGACATTGTGGTACAAGGATGGGTGTGTATAGAGAACTTTGATAACCATCTTAATACCCAAAGGGAAGAGTCAGAAGCTGCTGGGCAGACCACAGTTGGAGTTTCAGGATGAAGACAATATTGTGGCAGGACAGAAAATGGGTAAACCTCAAACACACAGCAGTGAGTGAAAATGCAAGCTGTGTATTTTAAAACACAAAAAGCCATTAAAAGTCCACATACATTTATGAAATCAGATGTATATAGTAAAATTATGAAAGAATGGATAAGAAAGATACCACAGTGATTATCTCTAGAGAAAATAAATGGATGAGGGTTTCAAAGATACCTATAACGTGAGTATGTGTATGTTTAGAATATTTCTTAATTTAAATTAAATTAAATATTTATTTTACTTAAACTACTAAAAGAAGTATGTTTTGAATCTCTACTTTTACTTATCTCTTCATTTTAGATAAAATCAAATTCCAGAAACATTCTACAAACTCTCCTCCTTCTAAATATTAATTTAGAAAACATTAATTGTAGAGTGCTCATATTTGTAAAGATTCTTTACAAATGTTCTTTCAGAGTATTTAAATATGATTTAATTTATATATAAAGTTACTACTGGATTTAGTTGAATATAGTAGAAAAACACTAGATTGAGATTAAGGAACTTAGATTCTATACCCATTTTTGCTGCTAACTAGCTTTGTGATTTTAGTCAAGTCTATTTTAATTATTTGCCCCATTTTTTCACATAACTCAAGGGCTGGGTTAGATTGCTTGTAAGAATCTTTCCAGTTTTAACATTACAAACCAGAAAAATACTACCATAAATAACCAAATTCATCTCAAGTCACACAAATCAATGACAGACCCAGAAATTAAAGAAAATCCTAATTAACTGTAATCTCCTTCTGAACAATTTAATTTTTTTAAGATCTCCTAGGTATTCTCATTGACATTCAAAAGTATTGTCCAAATAGTACTACTTAAATATTTTTGAAGTATTATACCTACCCAGTATTTCAAAAAGGAGTACAGTTTTGGGGGCATGTTCACGCCAGTACTTCATGCTTTCAATAACTGCAGATATAATTCTTAAAGAATTCTCTTTTTCCTTAAACTTTAACTGGTACAGTGAGGCATTCTATTTTGGAAAAAAAATAAAATAAGAGCATTAGAAAAACCTTTCAGGTTTCTCATCATACTCTTTCACTTTCTTTGTAAAGATTACAGGTCCTTACAACAGGCACACAGGTAAAATATGTAAAAGAACTATTAAAATTTTTAAGTATTGTGTGCCAAACCTGTGATAATTACAGGTGAATAAAACACAATTCCTTTCTTTAATGCGCTCAATATTCTAGAAGGGGAGTCAGACACATTCATTCATTCATTCCAAAAGTACTTATAGCCACCTACCATGCGCTAAACATAGCTAATGAGGAAATAATAGTGAGAAAAATAGGCAAGATGAACCCCCACAGATTTTGCCATCCAATGGGGGATTCAGAAAATAAATGAAAAATATACAATAGAATGTTGGGAACGGATATATCTTATGCATTTAAAAAACAGGGTAAGAGGATAATGAGACACAAAAACAGTTATTTGTAACAGGCTGTTGAGTGAGGACTGGGGGAACAGCAAGTATAAAGGCCCTGAGATGGAAATGTGCTTGGCATTTTTAAAGATCAACTGAAAACAGTGTGTTAAGATACTAATTTTTAGGGAGTACTGGTGGCACTTTCCTTTGTGAAGGCAGGACATGTCTAAGGACACTTGTTGGGACATTGTTTTCCAACTATAATTACCTTTCCTCCCTCTCCCCACTCCTAACCAAGATGTGAATACCTCCCACTGAGGCAGGCATAGCTAATTGCCATAATGAGCCACTGTTACTAAGATGACTATGTCACATCATTCTTATGTACAAGAAAATATAAGGTTGAGAACAACTGTGAATCATGCCATTGTCAGATTTCTAGGAAAAACATAGAATTTACCTCAGATGGCTTACTGAAAAAACTGCTTACAGACATGGGCAGAATAAATATTAAGGCACTTAAGCACTCAAAAACTGACAATACGAAACTTCTTCCACTCCTTGGTTTGAAAGGACAAAAGGAAGGAATAAAAGTACCAAACCTGTGGAAGCTGGACTCAAAGAGGGGCAATATGTAGGGACACAGCTACTGCCTGTGACACTACATTAAACAGGGAAGACACAGGAAAACCCAACCGCTCTGCCCAACTTTTGATGTCCTGCCAGTGACTCCCACTGGCTGACTCCTAGCAGAAGTCAGCTGAGGGATGATGTACTATGTAGTACCATTCAGCCTTCTAGAGCACAGAGAAGGGCAGAGTATAAACAAGCTATTGGGCCAGGTGGCAAGGAAGGAGAGATTGAGCAAACAACCAGCACACATAATATATACAGCACATTTACAAAAAAAAAAAAAACAATTACAGTAAGGAATGGAAAGAGGAAGTGAGGCTGAAGGAAGTACAGATATAAAAAAAGATACAAGCTGAAGCAGAGTCATATTACAATGCTTATTATGTTTACAGAATTGTGAATCATTTGAATATGGTAAGTGCATTGGAGAATTAGTGGACTACAGAACATGAGGCTGGAAAGGTAAAATAAGACCAGATTATACAGCAAGGGTCAGCAAAGAGTAGCCTGTGGTCCAAATCTAACCTGCTCTGTTTTGGTAAACTTTTACTGGAGCATGCCACACTCATCCATTAATGTACTGTCTAAGGCTGCATTTAAGCTACAATGACAGAGTTGGGTGGTATAGCTGAATAATTAGTTGCAAGAGAGACCATATAGCCCATAAAGCCAAAAATATTTACTATCTGGGCCTTATCAGAAAACGTTTCCTGACCCTTGTTACAAAAAACTTTGACATGTGAAGAGCTTGGAGAATTTCTGTAAGTAAGGGATAAACTGTCATCAAGTCAATTATTAGTAAACAGTGAAATTCAGAACCCAGCAGGCCACTCTAAAGCAACTATTAAAAGGAGAAGCCATTCAAACCTTTATGGAAATAGTTTGGAAACTAACATTCACCCAGTCCAATGGACCTGAATATTTGTGCTAATTAAGTAATGCATTCAATGGGATTGATTTCAAACGTTATCTTTATATTTTCTGAATACTTCTCTCATTTGTTCACATAAACATAAAAATGTAAATATTTATATTTAAAAGTTTACCTTGAGAGAGTTTTCTTCTGGAATGTCATCTAACTTTTTTTTCTTAAATTGACTTTGTTGGAAAATGGACATAAATGACTGTGATGCACTGTCTTTGTCTAGACCTCTCACTGTGGAGCCAGATGTTTTTGACAAATGTGTTTGTCTGAGTACTTCACTTTTTCTTTGGTGAGGTAAGTCAGGAGGCTGAGATACTCTTAATTGTTTCTGTTCTTGAGCTCCCAAGTTTATTGGACGAGAATTTATTCCATCATTTGCCACTAGGTTGGTTCTTTTGCATTGAGGCCTAAAATCATTTCTATCCCAGGTTTTCAAACTGGTATTTTTGTTGCCATCTCTGTAGCTGTAATAGTTTTTAATAATTAGTATTAGATTTTGTATCTATATACTTTTTTAATTTGTTGTTATTCAGTTACAGTTGTCCTGCCTTTTTCCCCCTTGCTTACTCCAACCTCATCCCCCCAACTCCCACAATCACCCACATTGTCCATGCCCCTGAATCCTCTATTCATGTTCCTTGACTTGCCCCTTCCCCTTCTTTCTCCCTTCATTCCCCTCCACCCACCTCTCTAGTCACTGTCAGTTTGTTCTTTATTTGCAAGTCTCTGGTTCTCTTTGGCTCCTTTGTTTTGTTGATTAGGTTACACTTAGAGGTGAGATCATGTGGTATTTGTCTTTCACCACCTGGTTTACTTCACTTAGCATAATGTTCTCCAGTTCCATCCATGCTGTTATGAAGGGTAGGAGCTCCTTCTTTCTTTCTGCTTCATAGTATTTCATAGTGTAAAAGTACCGCCGTTTTTTGATCCACTCATTTACTAATGGGCACTTAGGCTGTTTCCAGCATTAGGCTATTGTAAATAATGCTATGAACATTGGCATGCTTTCTCTTAGTTAAAAAATTAATCATTAAAATTTTTATTTATATGGCAATTTGTGGTTTATACTGTCTAGTTAGAAATTCTAAATACAACATCATAATAACCCTACAACATGCTATACCTCTCTTTTCAGGTAAGAAAATTGAGCCTTAGGGAGGAAGTAACTTGTCTAAAGTCAAATAGAAAGTTACTGACAATACAGAATCCAGAGAATCCTTGTCTCCCATATAAAGCATATTTTTAAACTATACAAGCCTTCACATAACAGTGGTTACTCTCTTATGTGAATGAGAGTAAGACTGCGAGAACTTCCACATACTTCTTTATACATTTACTTTTAAATTTTCTACAAAGTAAAATTTTAAGTTAAACTAATTGCTTGTCAGTGATTTTAAATCACAAGAATAAACATAGGCAAGTTAGCTAGCAATTTGCTTAGAAATTTTGTACATTAACTACATAGCTTAAAAGCCCTACTTATGAATCAGTTGCAACATTTTACTATCTACATTAAACCGAATTGTATCAGCTGATCAGAACATAGTAGTAATAAGACCAAAATCAAAAGTAGAATTTCTGATCTTTCTAATTAAGGGTACCACAGAGAAAAACTAGTGCAAGTCACTAATTCTTATTTCTGAATAATTTTCCTGAAAATGCCACAGAACAGCAAACAATACAATCCACCCCTTGTTAGAGAAAATACTCAAAAAAAAAAAAAAGATCTAGGTTCCCTAGTGATCAGGAACAAATACAAATTGTATGGGGCCTGGAGCTTGTATAATTTGGGGAGCCTTCTTAAGTAAATTAGGTACAAAATTACATATAGAAATAATGAGAAAAAATACAAAATAATTTCAAAACTTTAAAAGTTAATAAAAATCACATTATCCTAGAAAACATTATTAGTATTATTATTAATTATGATTACTGCCTGATATTCCTCTTTAAGACATTTTTTGTACATGGATCATCTCTTCGTATAACAGCAATTTTATTTTCAAGAGAAACAATAGAAATTTTGTCTTCCCTCTCTCATGACTGTGGAAATTACTTTTATTATTCAGTTTAGAAAAGTTTCTTTCAGTTTCACAACTCCTTACTGGTAACAACACATCTGCAATTTCCTCCAATAGTTTTTTGCTCAGGCCTAGCCTGGGCAAGGCCTGAGCAAGGCCTGAGTGCTCCTAGCCTGGACAAGCTTTGGAACATCATGCCCATACACAGTGCTGCTTCACCAGCCAATCCAGCTCTGCCAGGTCTTTAATATCCCAACTAGACCACGAGGCCTAAGTTGTAGTGACCCCTGAGCAGGGCAGGGAGCAGTGTCCCACTCAGATTCTTCTCCTTTGGTACAAAGATGGAGTCCAGGTGGTCAACAAGATACCGCACAACAGGCTCTTGTTGGGGGCAGATGGATGTAAAGGAAAAGCCTAGATTCTGAACCTAAGCGTAGAACCAGGTAAAAGATCTTCAGCAGATTACAAACTGCCTACTTGGGTTTCCAAATGTTTTCTGTTCCTGGACTTTCTGTTGTTATCTTCCAACTGTCATAACAGATTGTTATTTCAAACTGGACTCTAATAGTGGGTGGCTGTCCGTATTACAATCTGCTGCCGAAGTCTCTGTCTAATGCCTATCAGAACAGGCTTCCTCCTAGTACCTGCAGCTGGAACTAAACCACCAAAAGCCATCTCAAAACCACTGATAGGCTTAGTTTCAAGCCCTGGTCCTGAAAAAAGCAACTGACTGGTCCTAAGGAAACTAGCAAGAGTAATAAAACCAAAACTCATTTTTTTAAAATAAAAATATTGTTTGAATGAATTTATTAACCACTTTATTAAAATTGCCCCCTTTCAAAAAATATGGTACCTTTAATGAAAGTTAAGGTAATATTAACATCACAGGGCTATTGTAAAGATTATTAAAATAACATAGTGAAGCACTAAATAATGACAAATATATGACATGTTTGGTGCTGTTTTTCCAATACTTTGTTCCCAAACTATTTCCTTCAGTAGTTGTCACTTACCCAAGAATACTAAAATCCAACCAAAAAAAATCCATGTCCCTTTTTCTATCAATTTTTTCATAATATTTAGGCTTTATACTCAGATCCTTATGGCAATGACCCAGAAGTATCCTCACCATCTTCCTTGATAGTCCTCTTCATTTCTTGAGCTCCTACCACTGCAAATGTGTGTGTATTCAACATTTGTTTCCATCTTTCTTTCTTATTCCCATTCCATTTACCTTGGAGCAGACTGTCTTACTAGGTATGGTAAGACTGAACATTCTATTTAGTTCTCAATTTCTAAATATATCCAACATTATGATAGTTATTCCTGACTCTTTGCCTATTATCAGTTAGATCATTAATAATCCACAGCAATATCATAAATTCATTGTAATAAATATTGGCAGAAATTTCATTAATATGAAGAGTTCTTTGGAAACATAATCACTGCTAAATTTACCTAATGTTCTCTTAACTTCTTTTATTAAATGCAGCTAATATTGATACAGTTGTTATTAACTTTAGAAATTTCCTAAATGTAATTCTGTCTAAGAAAGGAGAAGGAGATGAAGGAGAAGGGAAGGGAAAAGGGAGGGAAAGGAGAAGAAAGAAATCTTAAGTCGACTCACCTCCAATCACTCTTGCTCCCCTCAGTATTCGACTGAGTAGACTTAAACACAGAATCTTGACTTCTCAAAGGGTGAGAAACAGAATGTGGTATTTGCCTTTTGAGGAAACATATCTTATTAAGTATTAATAGTTTGTTTCCAAGTTCAGAAATATAAAATGTACATAGAAGATAAAATATCAGTCAGTAACAGACACACATTTATTAATGTATATTTTTTCACATACCCTGTGTTCATTGTTGTTGTTGAAGGAGGCAACTCTGGATTCACTGCTCCCCAGGCCCAATCTCAAAAGATATAAGTAGTAGAGATAAAAGTAAAATGTAGCATTTTTAAAAAATACCATTTCATACATATTTAATTTGACAGTTGAAAGCCTAAAGAAAAGAATTTAAAGATATGGACTTGTTCTTCAATAGCACTTTGTTGTGGAATTTCTCACAGCCTGCCTTAATTTTTATAGATATCTTTCTTCCCCCATTGAGTTTTAAACAAAGGTAATAGTTTCATCTGTACTTTTTTCCACAATCAATCCCAGTATAATACCTTGTACTCATAATATGAATTTAGTGTAATCAATGTTTTTTAAACTTTTTGATCCCAACCCATAGCAAGAAATACATCATAACCTAGAACATATATGTGTGGTGTGCATGTGTGTTGTGGGAGGGGAAGAAAAAACATAAAATTTTGCCATCAATTTTTATTCTTACTGTGTGTAATATAGTCTGATATTTTCTATTCTATTCTATTTTGCTCTCTTGTGTTTCTTTTCTTCTTTTAAGATTGGTTGTTTCCCAACCTAGCTCTCAAAATTTCAAAAATACTGGTCTAGTCTTATATCTTACCCAATACCAGAATCTTATCATAACTCTGACAGTTATCCTGGTCAGAGCCTATAGAAATCAGTAGTTCAGGAGGATGCACATTTCTCTCTGAAGCAACTCAAAATAATATTTTTCAAGGTCAACATTATGCTACATATAAAAATATTTTAGCTAATGGAGAACTTCTTAAATGGCAGAAGATGACGAGACAAATGCGCATTTATGCACATCCATGTGAATTTTTATCCATAAAAATGATGAGACAAAATTTTTACTTCAAATTCTTCAAATGTTGAAGAAAAAATAAGTATAAATTTAGGAGTAAATTAAGGTCTATAATTAAATGCTGAATAAATTTAACAATACAAGTATTGAGAGGTGAAAAAAGGGAGACTGATTCATTTTAAAACTCTACTTGCATAAAATCCTATTAAAGATTTTTTAAATGTGCCCAGAAAATTGCAAATGTATATAACCAGTACGTACCAAGTATATTTCAGAATGTCTTACCATCCATGCCTTCTAATAAGATAAGTAAAAAGTCAATAAACTTTAAGACCTCCCAGCATCCACCACCACAGCTAATGGGTTCAGAGATGAGAGGCCTAAACATAAAACCAGTATTTTCATAACCCCATTTCAAAAATGAGCTTAATCAAAGACTCTCTCTTTCTAGACTTTCAATCAGGAGATACAGAGGGCAGTCAATTATGTGCTCTGAGAGCTAGAACTAAAAGGTTAAGTTAACTCCCATCAAGGGCAATTTAGTGCATGTGCTAGTTGAAACTATAAAAGCCAACTGGATAAGAGAGTAAAGAGGTAACAAATAAGACAGGCAAAAATGCTATAAGAGAAAAAAGACTAAGGTCAAATGCTAGAAATTCCTGGGCTGCTAATCTTCCTAAGATCTATTTTTCCCCATTTTTCCTGTGTTCCCATGCACATTTACTCTTGAGGCAACTTGAGGTTCATTCTTCAACTTCATTCTTTAGCACCAAATATCTAAGTCACAATATCCATATGTATCTTGAAAAAGACAAAAATTCTTTACAATGTAGGTTATCACTTCATTAGAACAAAGACCCCAGATCAAAGATACTCCATTTAAAATGCTAAACCACCCATATAGACAAGGAAACTCAAACTACTGTCCTGGAATGTTCAGAAGGAGCCAAATAATCTCTATATATGGATAATGGAAAGAAGAAAAACATCAACTTTTTATATCTATTATAATAAAAGAGAAATGGTAATTTTCTATAATCTTAGTTCCTATTTTCTCAAAGTTTTCATCTTATTTTCTTACCTGTTGGTAGAGGAGGGAAATCATAACTGTTGGAAGTAGTACTGATACCTGGATCGTTTTTAAGTGGATTGGAAGTTAATGGCTGTCTAGTCCTCTTTTTCTGATTGAACAATGGTACAGGCAAACAGCCTAAATTGAATGTTCCGATTAGTATACAATAGGAAAATAGATCTAGTTACAGAATAATATGTCTACTTCTAAATGTTAATTTTATACTTAATATAAATATATTTCTATATCTTTGTGTTGATTCTTACATTCTTTTAAAAATCCTAAATAGCCTCATTTGCTTCTCTAAATACTCCTTTCTTTTTAAAAACTTTTTAATTTTCATTTACAGTTTACATTCAACAGTACTTTGTATTAGTTTCAGGTGTAGGTGTACAGCATAGTGGTTAAAAAACCATATACTTTACACAGTGATCCCCCTGGTATTTCAAGTACCCACCTGGCACCATACATAGTAATTACAATATTACTGACTATATTCCCTATGCTATACTTTACATCTCTTTGACAATTTTGTAACCACCAATTGGTACTTCTTAATACCTTCACCTTTTTACCCCATCCCCCCAAAACCCCTCCTCTCTGCCAACCATCAATGTGTTCTTTCTATTTATAAGTCTGTTTCTATTTTGTAAGAATTATTTTCTTACAAAAATTATTTTCTATTTTAACACTGCCTTAATTCCTCGTTTGGAAGTCATTCCTAGCTCCTTCCTCATCCCCCAACCCTTTCCATATCTACTTTTCGTTTTCCTTATTTCCCACCTATGTTTGCCTATTACCATGTCAACTAGAGGGGACCCTTCACATACAAAAGGAGGTGAGGGAGAACCAGACTTTGACCCATCCTTTCCAAAATGCTAAACACTCTTCAGTCTATGTTGGCACACCCTTTAGGGCCATGGTTCTCAAACTTTAGTTTGACTAAGATTTAACTGGAATTGCCCTTAACATACCAGTTCCTAGACCCCACTCTCATAGATTTTATTTCAATAGATTTGGTTTGGAAGCCCAAAAATGCAATTTAACAAGCACTCCAGGTATCTGTATTGCATATTTTCGGTGACTCTGATAATGTCTCAGAGTGATAATATCCAATTCAAATGAGAATATGTACTACTCTGTATCCTTTAGATAAGATACTTGGGATCTCAAGTCAAGCCAAAAATCAGAATTTATTAGAACTAGAAGGGACCTCAGAGGAAAAAAAGGTCCTAAAGCTTGTTCACTGCTACAGTGGAAGCAGCTAGGTAGGACCCACACTTCCTGAATCTCAGTATAGATATCTTGCCACTATGCCATACTCCAGCTGGTCCATTAAAACTTCTGTGCTACAGGAGAATGTAGATTCTGTGTCAACTGTCAGATGAAACAATGTGGGCTCTGGAGTCAGACTTCCTGAGTTTGGATTACAACTTCAAGATAGGGTTGAATTACATACAACTTCAAAGTATAAACCTGAACAATTTCTTTAAACTAATTGGGCCAGTATGACATATACCAAGAGGCAGGATAATACAGTGATTCAGAGTCTGGACTCTAGAGGACTTCTGGCCAAGATGGAGGCATACATAGACACACTGTGCCTCCCTGAACAACCAAAATAAGGACAACAACAACTTACAAACAAAATAACAACCAAAACTGAGAGAAAATTGAACTATAGGGAAGTCTGACAACCAAAGAGTTAAAATAGACACATTCATTCACACCTGTAAGCACTGTGGAGTTGGGCAGCCGAGGGGGGGGGGTCTCCGCACAGGAAGCAGTGACACCAGGCATGCAAGGCACCCCAGGTGCACAAGACAGCACTAGGAAGACCCTGGGCACCCAGGTAGCAGTTGGCAGGCCCCAGGCATGGGGTGGCAACAGGCAGATCCAGTAAGGCGGTAATTGAGAAGCAGGGCACCATGTACAAGGTGGTTGGTTGACCAGGCAGCAGTCCCACATTCGTGTGCAGATAACTGGGGAACGAGAACACTTCCGCAACCCAGGGCCCTAGCACTGGGAAATAAAGCCTCAAAACAATGATTGAACATATGTGTGGGGGTTGAGGCGCAGGGAGAGACTCCTAGCCTCACAGGAGAGCTTGCTGGAGAGACCCACAGCATCCTAGAGTGCACACAAGCCCACTCACATGAAAATCAGCACCAAAAAGGCCCAATTTGCTTGGGGGTAGCGGCGGAAGAGACTGAGGTGCAACAGAGGGCTGAACAAAGCGCCACTGTTCCCTCTCTGACCCCACCTCCCCCCACAGCATCACAACCCAGCAAACTGGGTTGCCCCACCCTGGTGAACACCTAAGGCTCCAAACCTACTGCATAAGAGGCGCAAACAGACCAAAACATTACAGCTCAAGCAGAACAGCTCAAAGCCCCAAAGCCAATACTTCTAAGTGACCAAGAGATAGCCAAACTATCCGATGCACAGTTCAAAACACTAGTGATCAGGATGTTCACAGAACTGGTTGATTTTAGTCACAAATCAGATGAAGAAATGAAGGCTACACTAAGAGAAATGAAGGGAAATGCAAAGGAAACCAATAGTGATGGGAAGGAAACTGGGACTCAAATCAATGGAGTGGGCCAGAAGAAAGAAATATTCAACCAGAACAGAATGAAAAAACAAGAATTCAAAAAAAAATGAGGAGAGGCTTAGGAACCCCCAGGACATCTTTAAACATTCCAATATCCGAATTATAGGGGAACCAGAAGGGGAAGAGGAAGAGAAACAAGTAGAAAACTTATTTGAACTAATAATAAAGAAGAACTTCCCCAATCTGGCAAAGGAAATAGACTTCCAGGAAATCCAGGAAGCTCAGAGAGTCCCAAAGAACTTGGACCCAAGAAGAACACACCAAGGCACAACATCATTACATTAGCCAAGATGAAAATGAAGGAGAGAATCCTAGAAGCAGCTAGAGATAAGGGGACAGTTACCTACAAAGGAGTTCCCATCAGACTGTCAGCTGATTTCTCAAAAGACACCTTACAGGCAAGAAGGGGCTGGAAAGAAGTATTCCAAGTCATAAAATGCAAGGACCTAACATCCAAGATTGCTCTATACAGCAAAGCTTTCATTTAGAATGGAAGGACAGATAAAGTGCTCCTCAGATAAGGTAAAATTCAAGAAGTTCATCACCACCAAGCCCTTATTATATGAAATGTTAAAGGGACTTATCTAAGAAAAAGAAGATAAAAAAGATGTATAGTAACATGACACCAAACTCACAGTTATTAACAAGCACATCTAAAATTTTTAAAAAACTAAGGAAACAACTAGAACAGGAACAGAACCATAGAAATGGAGATCACATGGAGGGGTAGCAACAGGGGAGTGGGAAGGGGTGGGAGGTACAGAGAATAAGTAACATAGATGGTAGGCGGAAAATAGGGAAGGGCAAGAATAGTATGGAAAATGTAAAAGCTAAAGAACTTCAGACACATGGACGTGAACTAAAGAGGGGAATGTAGGTGGGAGAGGGTGTGCAGGGTGGAGGGGAATGAAGAGGGGGAATGGGACAACTACAATAGCATAATCAAAAAAATGTATTTAAAAAAAATAAGAGCCTGGACTCTAGAGCCATAGTCCTAGGTTCAAATCTTAGTTCTGCCACTTCATAAGTTACTTATTTAACAACCTCTTTGTGTCTTAGTTTTTTACCTGGAAGATAAGGATGATAATGCTAATGTCTATCTCAAAGGACTGGTATAAGGATTAAATATATTGCTACATATAATTAAGTGTCTAGAATATAGTACGTACACCATAAATAATAGCTAGTATTATCTTAATTGTCAATTGTCATCATTTCCCTGGTTCTCTTCAATCTTGCCCTCTAACTAATAAGCTGGGAAACAGAAATGGTAGAGGAAGGTGTTAGCGAGACAGAATTGCTTCTGGAAATACTTTAAATAAGGCACAAACACAAATAAAATAATAAATCTATTTCTTTGTTTTGAGCCTCAAAGCACAGAACAACTCAAGCACATAAGGTTTGTAGGAAGAACACTCATAAAGCCAGGGAAGTTTGGTTTTATTCCCACCATTTATTGCCACTAAATGTTTTGCCTTCAGTTATTTTATGTGCTTGGACCTAAGTAGTAAAGAGGCTAGACTACATGTTCGATCTTTTTAAATATTCCTTCCAAAATGCTCCATCTATAAGTTTCATGAGCTTTATATGCTACTTACAAAATATAGAAAATTTAAAAGTAAAAGGTGTACAATACCCGCTGTACTTCGAGTTGAACTTTCATTTAGGTTTCTCTTCATTTCCTTCAAAATCAGAGTCTATAACGTTTTCTGCAACACTCCAAATTTACAACGTGAAGTCATTTGACTAAACCTTCAGAGAAAGAAATTTGTAGCTCATATTGTCTCAGAATTTGAACAAGATCAAATTCTGAGCCTAGTAATTACTGAAATCAAGATTTGAAACCATACTTTCAAATGTGATCATGTTAACACTGTACAGTCTCTTGCTTCTGAGTAAGAACTAACAACATAAACTGTCTGTCAGCTCTTTTCAAAAGAAGCTGAGACTGGGGTGGCTGTGGCCCTGCCTCCTGAACATGCAGGAAGTTCACACGGTCTACATAGGTAATATCTTCGAACTAGTGACCCCCACTGAAAACAGCTCCAACCCAGAACCCACAGGCAGGCAGAGGGCAAGGCACCACAGCACTGGCAAACGCGCATGCTCGGAAGGCCCGGAGGAGACGGCACCTCCGACTAGCCGGCGAGAGCACGCGGCCTCTCCCCTTAGGACACTGCACAGGTCATCCATTCGGGCCCGCCCATAGTCTGAGATCTCTGGGTCATGTGATGCCGAAGACCACGGCCTCGCCTAACACCCAGAGTAACGGAAAAGATGTTTCCACTCACTGTCTACAACTTCAACAAGTGAAACAAGTTTTCCTGTTGTTTTTTCTTCTTTTACAACAGACGTGAACACACCTAAGTTAACAATGCAAATCATACTCAGGTAAATACTGATTTCCAAATATCTTTGATAGAAATACAACCATTTCTATCACATAGTTGTCGGGATTGCCTCTGCTTGGTCTCATATCTTGGGCTTGAAGCTGCAGCTAGTAGGCCTGTTAGAATATACTCTTCGTGCCATTCTAGGAACCGAAATAGAGGTTCATGCCTTCTCTCCCCACAGAAATACCGATGCAACTCACATCCTAAACCCAGAGGATGGGAGTAGCTTGCAAGGGCTATTGTTTCTGAGTATCGTGCAAACAAAACGAACACCCAAAAGCGCAACATCCTCCCCCTGCACCTCTGTCCCGAGGGCAGGAACTGAGCTGCCCCTCACCCCTGCTTCTGGACCCGAATGGCACTAAAGCAGTTGACCACATCGTCAGTAAGCCAAAAGTTTGCTCCGTTTACAAAGCCAAGCGCTCGCGCATGCGCACACACATGCACGCGCACACACAGCCGCCCCCAAACACAACCTCCTCAGACCGAGGCCTAGAGAGCTTGGGGGGTCTGGTTGGGGCTCACGCTCTCTTTCAACATTTTCTCCTCACCCTGGGAAGGGGGACGTTTGGAAACTAGCAACAGCGCTGTCTTTCCTTTCTCGGCTTTCCTACCAACCCCATAACGCTACTTTTACCCTCAGATTCCGTCGCCTCTGCCAACGGTCCGCCTCAGTCCACGAACCAGTAGACTGCCCAGTCAGTTATGGCGCAGCTCCTAAAAGGCGCGAAAAGTCAAGCTGTGCGCAGGCGCGCCTTGAACCTGCGCAGGCGTGCCCAGACCGTGCTACCAAACCACGCCCCAACTCTCCACCCAGCACGCAGGCGCAGAGTCACCACCTTGTAAAATGGGCGCAATGACATCGTTCCTTATGCTCGACAAGGGAACTACCCGTGTCCCTTTCTGAAGACCCCTAACTTTAACACACCTCCCTCTTGTGTCCTCACACTGTGATATACAAGGCACAGGGATAGATCTACCTCGTTAGAGTGCTGCCCAGAGAAGGAAGATCTTGTTCTTGTCCCTGCCAAGGCGATGACAGATCTGTCCAGTCGTTTTCTGCCCCAGACTTGTTAGAAAAGGGTGCCAGCAATGGTCGCCCCCCCATCCACACCCCGAGGTCATTTCTTAGGTTCTAAACAGTATGCAAGATGCCGATGGCAACCCGAGTGTGCCTAAAAGGGGTCACAGTACTCACAAACCAGGTCACAGGGTCTCGCTTGGTCTGGCTGAGCTTCTGAGTCACCACAATCAGGGAATTCGTTCCCAGGAGGCTGGTGGGAGTTGCGGTCCAAGTTTAGATGGCAGCCCTGCAAAGTAGAGTGCAGCCAGAGAGGCAGGGCCAGTGCCGCCTGAGCACAGGAGAGGGGCAAAGCACACAGGCCTGGCAGGCCTGGGTCCCAGAAAGGAAGTGGGAGGGTGTGGTGACCCTTAACTCTGGCCCGCCCCCCACTAGGTTGCTGCTTCCTGGCCCGTTTGATCTTGAGCAAGTGTTTTACCCCCTCGAGACTTCCTTTCCCTCCTCAGGGAAAGAGGGATACAGCATTGACTTCATTGCCCTAAAAGTATTGAAAGAGAAAACAGTCCTGGCACACAGTAAATGCTGTATAAATGTTAGCCCTTATTGAATAACAGTAGCTGCCATTTATTGAATACTTACTATAGGCCTGGGTTCAAAGACCATGTTTTGTCGTTACCACGCCTTTGACCACTTGAAGACTAAGGTAGGTGAAGGGCAGAGGTGCAGAGGCCGTGGAGGGGGAAGGAAGGCTGTTAGGAAAGGCCCAGGACTGTGACACCATGAGACATAAGAGCAGTTTCTTTGAAGATTAGGTCAAAGGGAAGTGTTAGGAGATAAGATTAGAGGTAGACTGACAACAGATAATGTGGAACATTGTATACTAAATTTCAGAATAAGTTTGAAGAAACATAGTCTTCATTTAATCTGGAGAAGATTTTAAACAAAATGTCTGAAAAGACTTGTTATTCACCATGGTTCCAGAAAGGAGACTTTAAAAAATAAATGAGTAGATGCTTCAAGGAAACCTATTTCAACCAGATACATACATATATATACACAGACAATACTCACCTACTCCCCCCAAATAGATTTTTCATTAAAAAGAAAACTATAAACCCACTATAAATAATATCCTGTACTATATCTGTAAGGAATACAGATATGAGCAATGTGGAATCTTTGCTAGCAGTTTATAAATGTACCTATCCTATCCCTATCCTATTCTAGTTATCATTTACGTCCAGCTAGAAAGCTGGGATGGGGACAAAGTGGGAGAAGAAAATTACAATAGTGAGAATAGTTTGATTACATGACTGCTGGACCACCACACTACGTAAGAGACACCTCACATACAATATTGGAGAGAAGACCCTCCTTATCCCTCAATCATATTATTTGAAAAACAATCCCACTGACATTTGTCTCCCATAAATTCTCTGACATTGATCTATTAAACAGCCGTGACTATGAAATTTTTCCTGTCCCCTGGTTTTAAGCTACATTATTTTACCAGTAAATCAGATACCACCATCCCCATAAAACATTTGTAGTGCTGGAAGTCACTAGGCTTATTCTTTTAAGTACTTCAAAACATTAAAACTCAACCTAATAGTGAGACTGTGACAAATAGAAAAGAGTCCACTTTGTATACTACTAGTTCTCTGAACTTTCAAAAAATAATTAATTTTAAAATGTGCTTTTGTGGGCCTCCTAAATGTAGTGTGCTTTGGGAAACAGGGAGTTAAAAATCTTTTGGAAGTTAACTTGGTATAAGAGTATGAAAAGACTCTGTTGCCCTAGTTCTAAGGAAATGCTCTACTTTTTTCTAATAAAGCTTTCCAACAGAAGACAAACTCTGTACACAATTTTAAAAAGGTAAGTATGGGACAGATTTACTGGTATTTATTAGGTCTCAGAAAAGTTACTTTGCATTTAAGGGAAACTTTACTTACAAATGTGAAATGTGCTTCAAAGTGCTGATCTGTTAAAATTCCGTAAAACAAGCCTCAAAATCCGAGTCATCTGTGCCAGCTATGAATAAATAACTGAAGCAGCATTTCCAGAAAGACTGGGGCAAAGGACAGGACTAACCACAAATCGGTAGAAAACAACAGACAAAATATAATCAAGTGTTAATAATTCACCATAGTTACTGCTCTTAAAACCAAAGTAACTAAACAATGTGACTATCGTCTGTTTGTATTTATGCTCGTTTTCAGCATCTCTACACCGAAGTGTTCAAGTGTACATCATGTGGGTAGAAAATCAAAGGCTACTGGGGCTTTTACTTAGGATGGTCACTTTAATATGTAAATTTAGATGTTATTAATTGCTTTATCTATCTGTACATTATAATCTTTTAAAGGAAGAACATAGGAATGGGTTTATTAAATGTTCTGAAGTATTTACATTTTCTATTTCTATCATGCATTTTGTTTGTATACTTGTTTGTTTCTTGGGCACTCTGTGTAGTGTGACTATTTATGTGAATTCTAAATGAGAAAAATTTAAACTTTGGGAAAGTCGAAAATGAACAGGTCAGCCTATTGTTCTGTGAAAAACACTGAACTTAAAATTGGAAAACCTGGGTCCAGGGTGGAGTTTTCCTCCTGATAGCTGAGAAACCTTAATCAAGTTACTTAACTTCTCTTTTCTTTACCCCTCCAATGGGGATGTCAATACCTGACACACCCTATCTATAAAGTGGATGTGTGAATCAACTGAGATAACAGGTGCAGAAAAACATTGTGGATAAAACTACTCTGCAGTTATCATTAATTACTCTTGTTGTACCTCTATCAAAAAATCTTTCGTGATTAGTGCATACAATGTTTCCAGCACTGGCACACATTTGACTTTCTGAGCAATTGTGCATGAAATCAAATTGGATTTGGCTCAGAATCATTTCTCTAAAGGAATATAACCATCTTAATGTCCTGTCTAGTTTCCCCTAATAAGACCCCCTCTTGAGTAACACATTCCAGTGGAGAGTCTGTGCTGGCAGTAAGTTAGGCCAGCAGTGGCACAGTCCACATAAACTTGTTTAATCTGGTTGGTATGTACAGCATGCCCCTAGACATTTTCAGACATTACAAAGCCTTGAAAATTACTAACGATTGCTTTTTCTTTAGCACTGAGGCAAGGAAGTGAGAAAGATCCTTAAGACTGTTGACACAGCATTACCAAAAACTTCATGTTAAGGCATGAAGTTAAAGGCATGTTTCCAAGTAGCTTTTTAAGTCCCAGTGGTTATTGCTTGGGGCTTCTGTGTCTCTGACTGCAAAAAAAAAAAGCATTCTGGGCCCTGGTCAGCTAGCTCAGTTGGTTAGCACATCATCCCCATATGCCAAGGTTGCAGGTTTGATCCCCAGTCAGGGCACAGCAACCAATGAATGCATAAATTAGTGGAATGACAAGTCCATCTCTCTCCCTCTCTCTCTCTCTCTCTGAAAGTCAATTAAAATAAAAATTTTTAAACATTCTGAAGGTCTGCTCTTGGCCATTTATAGAAATGAAATTCGAATGCCCTCAGATGAAGAAAAGCACCTGAACTCATTTTAGAGAAGAAATGTTTTCAAATACAATGGAAGTTATATATTGAACAATAATATGCATTTTATGAGCCACTTTTTTATTTTTGAAAATTAGAAATGTACAAACTTTTATATTACTACAAATGGGCAGAAAAGCACCATTATATGGTCTAGCTGAAGAGAAAATTCAATTTTGTGTTAGAATAAAATGCTAATTTATTACTGCATTTAGATCTACCCACCATTTGAGGGAGTCAGAAGTCAAAGTGAACAGCTGTAACTCTAGTTGATCTCTGCATACTTTGGTCCAAATATGGTAAAGGGCAGGGCTAGAGAAGGGAGTGCCCCTACAATAAACAGGGCTCAGAACTCTAACAGAGAATTAAAGTATACTCCACTCAAGAGAACTCTGCACTTTGCACTTTAGTTAAAGTCTCATTTAGATTTAAATTTCTAAACCTTTCTAAAGAAATTAAGTTTTCTTTGATCTCCTCTCTTGTGAATTGCAGGAATTAGATAAAATTATTGGATAAAATGACTTCTTATCATGTTGTTAAAGATCCCATTAAAAAAGTTGCTATCTTTGGAGGAACTCACGGCAATGAGCTAACAGGAGTATTTCTAGTTCAGCACTGGCTAGAGCATGGCACTGAAATTCAGAGGACAGGGCTGGAGGTGACACCATTTATCACCAACCCAAGAGCAGTGAAGAAGTGTACCAGATACATTGACTGTGACCTGAATCGAGTTTTTGACCCTGAAAATCTTGGGTAAGGCTATATTTTGTTATGTGCATGTGTATGCATGTGTGTGTGTGTGAGTGTGAAAAGTGGAGTGTGTGGGAGAGAACATGCATGTATATATGTATGTGCTATTCATGTGGTCGTTATCGTGAATGAAATCACTTTCACTTTTAATCATACCCTATTATGAATTGCCCAGTTCTCTAAACTGGGCATTCACATGCTGTTTTATAAACCTTTTTAAGCATCAGACTATTCTCAACTGATTTTCTTTTTAAATGTATTCTCTACAGACTGAGATAAAAAAAACCAAAGTTTTTACCTTTAAATCTGCCTTTAAAGAAATAGATTTAATAGTCTTTTGGATTATTAGTGTTTGGTCACTGTACTTGGGTATGTATGCATGTGTTAGCTTTCTAGGTTATTCGCTGCTGTGTCTTTATGCAACTATGTTTATGATACTGCATAAAATTCTAGTTAAGAAAGGCGGAATGTCTTGATTAATATTTGTTCAATGAAAATATCCAACCATAACACTCTAGGTATGTTCTCATTATTATTCTTGCCTCTGTTTACATCATTATAGCTACTAATGTACATATGTAGGTCTCTAAGTATTTTCTTTTTACCACTTCTTTCTTCCATCTGTCTAAAAACATTATTATACACCTACTCTTTGCAGGGCACTGTGCCAGCTACGGTGAGAGTACAAAGCTATGTGCAAAATGGATTCTACCCTTAAAAAATCGACAGACTAGTAGCTAGGATATAAGACAGGGACCGGAACTAACATGGTGCTGTTGTATTTACTCATTTTCTAATAAAGGTTAATTTGAGTTTAGAGAGTTACTTAAATATAATCTCACC